ACGGCCCAGGGCTGTGGCCGAGGCGCAGGGCTTGGCTCAGGCCTCTGCGGGAAGTTGGCGCCGATGTCCGGGGGCTCCCTCTGCCTGGCCGCGTAGCCACCTGCGAGCGGGCCCAGGACTGGGCTACCAGCACTCCTGACCCAGCACCGAGAGCGCCCGCGGGCCTGGAGGGAGGCCGACCTGGGAGGAGCCAATGGTAGGATGACTACAAAACCCACCCGAGCAAACCCGAATGGGCTGAGCCTGAGGGGGAAAGGAGGGACTTTGCCAGTTGGAAGAAACTCTGGAGCCTGGGGCTGCACCCACTGGGCCCCCCCAGTCCCAGCCAAGGGTGGCAGCCCCGAAAGGAGCAGGATCCTGCTGGGCTTTTTCTTACCTTTGAACTTAATGAACTCTTCTTACAAAGTGACCTTTGCATTCCTGTGCTTCTGAGTCCTATCTTCTCTTGCTGCTTTTTAGAATAGAGGCTTTTGGACAGGGGGACTTACATGTGGGAGTGTGAGTGGCACCTGGCTGTGGTCTGATGGCACAGTGTGGGGCCCCTCCCCTGCCTGTGCTGATGCCCCAATTCTGTGGTCTGGGAGAGGCAATCAGAAGCAGCCAAATAAAAAGGAAAAGCTATCATCACCATCTGCTCCCAGGACTCCACTGGGCCCAGGAGCCCAGGATGCGGGCCTAAGGGGCTTGAGGCCTGGAGGCTCACCCTGGAATGTTGGGTCCTGGCCTGAAACCCGCAGGTACGTACTTAGAGACATTGGTTCATGGCCAAATCCCAGGTGTGGCAGAGTAGTGTGAGGGGCACCATGGGAGAGGACAGTATTTGGAGAGGGGGAGCAGGACTGGGAGGCTAAGGATGTGTTCAGACTCATCCCCGGCCCCCTGCAGAGCCACTGTCTGCAGTGAGCCACAGAGAGGGTAGCATTGAGAACAGAGTCTGGATCAGTCTCAGGGAAGGATGCTGAGGGCAGGGCCAAGGTTGGGGGGTCAGTTAAGTCCTGCCTGTACCCCAAGTGATGGGCAGATGGAGCTCCCCGGGAAGAGTGGGCCAGTGCAGCCAGGGCCTGGGTAATGGGGGCAGACTTAGAATCCAGGAAGGATTATGGGAGGGGGTTGAGGAAAGTGGAGCCTCTGGCCAAGGCTGTTGAGGAAGTAGGAGGCACAGCAGCCCTTTCCTCCCCCCACCCGACACCCCGAAGTCTGGAGAGCTGCTCTGCCTCTAAGATGAGTGGCCCTCAGCTTGTGTCCAGCCTCACTCAGGATGATGGGGTGGATTTTGTTGATGCTGCTTGCCAGGGCGAGGACCCAGATGTGCCAAGGAGGCCTAAGGGCTTCCTTGTCTCCTTGGAGAGCTGGACTCTTGCTAGCTAGCAGAGGGGCGGGGGGAGGAAGAGTTCCACAACTCAGAGTGGGGGACCCCACAGAAGCTGGAGAGATGCCCATAGGCGCCCAGGGAATAGTGAGGGGTCCCCAGAATAGTCAAGAAGAGGTTCACTGCCCTAATTACAAATGTCTTTTTTTTCTCTGGCTGGTACACTTGATGTCTGTTCCCCAGCCCACAGACCTCAGGGCTCCAAATTTCACAGGGCGGGTGGCTGTGTCACAGATCACAGGAAGCCTTTGACTCTGGAGGAGAGGGGTCATGGGGTCCAGGCAGGAGCGAAATGTGCAACTCTGGCCCCAGGCCTGCCCACTGAGCCTTCCCTCTCAGGGGGAGGCAGTGCCCTGGTCTGACAGTGGGAAGGAAAGAGCCAGACCTGCCTGGGATCCAGTCTCCGTTCTGCCTCTTACTACTTCCTTAACGTCTCTACGCCTCTAGTTCCTCACCTCTGACCCAGATGATTCCATCTCAGGGTGGCTGTGAGCGTTAACATTTGTTCACAAGGCACAGTTTCTGGCAATTAGAAGGTGTTTCACAAATTGTTACTATTTGCATATTATTATTTTATGACAGACCAGCCTGGACAATGCTTCCACCTTGCTTCAGCTCAGGTATTTATTCTCTGGAAACATGATAAAATGACCAAGTCCTGCTTTCCTAAGTTCCAGGTTGGAAAGAAATGAGGGTTCTTCTCTATCAGTTGCACTCTCAGCCCTGGAAGGGCGATAGCGCCCCCTGCAGGTGGAAGTGTGGGTATGACACTGACTGTGAGGAAAATGGAGGGATGTGTCTCCTCACTTCTCAGCTGACCTTGGCAAATCGCCTAAGGGCTTTGAGCCTTGGTGTTTCCATCCAAATAATGGGCAGTTGTGCAGACTAAATGACGTGATGCATTTAAAGCACTTAGCATAGTGCCTGCCCCAGGCAAGCACTCAGAGTGGAAGCTATTAAGACAGTCTATTTACAAAGTTGTCATAAGTAGAGAATGCATGGAAGGTGTTTTATAAACTGAAGTACAAAGCACAGTAGTTATTATTGTTTTATCAGGGCTATTTGTTTGAGCGCCCACATGTGTGTATTTCTATGTTATGTGTTTGCCTGGCACTCAGCGTTTTTTTTTTAAATGAACACATGAATATGTGCATGCTTATAGAGATATGTAGATAGCTGAGTATTTGTGTGTGCATACATGTATGTACTGGCCTAACAGGTACCCCCTGCTCTCCCTGATTCTTTAGCAGATCTTAGGACAGAGTACCTTTAATTATATGCCTTCCAGGTTTTCTGGAACCCTTCCTTGAGTTTTTTTCTTTTTTTAATCTGCTTCCTAAGCCCATATCTGTTCTCCAAGATGACTGATTTGCTGCAGAGAGAAGACACATCGGTGATTATTAGAGACATGGAATTTATCAAGCAAGACCACATAGGTTTATCCAAATGTAGAGAAAAGTAGTTAGTACAAGGATAGGTATTAAATAAATATAAACAGGAAAGTACTGGAAAGAGAAAACACACATTTAAGACAGAGCTGCTAAAAGTTATGACCAAAAGATATGAATGACTGATATAACTAAAGACAAAAATTGTATATCTATATGGTTAATCCCAACAGTTCACTCAAATAGTATGCAAAGGGAGAGAGATGGTTAATGTTTAAAAGACAGAGAATACCAACAATTACAGCACTTTCAGCCGCTCTACAGCTCACAAACGGCTCCCATACATTCAGTCTCTTGGCTTCGCTGAGGAAACCTGTGCCTTCCAGCACCTTCCCTTGAACTCCATGTCTCCATCATAGGGAACAGTATCTTGTTTCTCTAGCAATGAATGAGATATGCCAGCAAAATGACAGAGGGGAGGGTCTAGCTTAGTGGTAAAGTGTATGCTTAGCATGCATGAGATCCTGGGTTCAGTCCCTGGTACCTCCGTTAAAAAACAAATAAATAAAAACATAATTTTTTTTAAAGTAAGTAAGAATTTTAAGACCCAATATGTGCTCAGGGATGTGGAGAAAAGGGCACATTTACAGATTTCTAGGTGTACTGTTTTGCTACAGAACAATTTGACAAAAATCACAATAAAAATACCCCAAGGGAATAATCCAAAAAGAAAAACAAATTTGCAAAAAAGCAGTCCCAGCATTACTGTACATAACAGTGGAAGATTTGAAACAACCCAGATGCCCAACCATAGAGGCCTGGGCAAAGCAAATTCTGGTTTTGTAACAGGATGACAGTAACGGTGAATTGGGAGAACAGATCACAAACTGGTCTGTGCCCACTGATTACAGGTGTGGACAAAAGGTAGGTGCAGAAACAAACCTTGAGAGAATTTGGGGGGATGTAAATGGGTTAATATCCATTAGGTTCTTCATAATTGTTCTTAAAAGGTGCGAGATTATCTCCTTAGGGTATCTTGCAAAGAGGAATAGGGAAATGTTTTGAGCGAGGACAGCAGGGACACAGTACCCACCTTGCTGGATGTGAAACTGGGGTGCTTGCTGATGGGGGCCAGACCACATCAAGTTTTGCTCACACTTTGCATGTGTATGTGTCTATGGGCACAGACACCAGAGAGATGCCGTTACCCGCCTTCGCTGGGAGCAGGGTGAGATGGCCCACGAAGGTCTCAGTGAGAAGCGGCATTTGCTTAATTACTACTGCCTGGTCAGCCCCATAGGGTTTCCTGATGCCCAGTGGGACCCGAGGGTAAAAAGGGCCAAGGGACACAGATCTAGGGGGTCTGCTTACCACTCTCCCTTGATTAGACCTGAACTTATCTACTCTTCTGACGAGGGACAGAGATTGGAGTGACTTTCTTCACTTACCTGCGCAGCGAGGCGGCGGAACCCAAAGGCCGATACCTCTGTGTAGCTGCAGGGCTCACAGCCTCAGGCTCAGCCCCCGCCCCCGCCCCGCCCCGGCCCCGCCCCCGGTGGAGCTTGGGGAGGAGCTCAGCGCCCTCCCTTCTTAAGGCTGCAGCCAGCCCCGCCGCTTACTGCTCTGCCGAAAAGGAGCCCTGAGTTCCCAGACCTTCATGTTAAAAGTCTGAAACCCCCATTTTTATGTGAAACAGATTTTTTAAAAATATGCGTTGAGCCAACACTGTACAGGCCAAACACACTTTGCATGATGAGTGGGCCCTTGTGGCCCATTTAAGACCTCAGCTGGGGGTGGGAGGAGACAGCAACTGCAGGCTTGGGCAGGACCAGGCGCGGGCCGGAGCAGCGGGCTGGCTCCCGCTCACCAGCCCGGGAACCCAAACAGGTGCTCCTTCTCCTCGCCTCTCCCCCTCCCTCTGGTCCGCCTCTGGTCCTTCCCCTCATCACCACCAGGCCACTAGATGGCATCACAAGCCCAGCATCTCGCAGTGACAGAGCAAACCAAGGTCCCAAGTCCACCTGGTAACCTCCCTCACGGCCACCCTGAGGACTTCTTGGCTTTTTCTTTTCTCTTCGAGTTTTTATTAAGTCAGAAATATCCCTTTATGTCAGGTTCATTCTTTCCTCTAGGCCAGCGCTGCTCAACAGAAATATAATGCAAGCCACACTTAAAAATTTTAAGTTTCTAGTAGGCATGTTAAAAAAGTAGAGACACAGGTGACATTAATGTTAATAATGTCTTATTTAGCCCAATATATCCAAAATATCATTTCAATATGTAATCAATATACACAATATTAACAAGATGTTTTACATTGTTTTGGTACTGTGTTCAAAATCCAAATCCGGTCTGTGTTTTATGCTCACGGCACATTTCAGTGTGGACTAGCCACATTTCAGGGGCTCAGTGGCCACATTTGGCCGGAGGCTCTGGAATCTGGCCGGGCAGCTGTCAGCCCTGTGGAGGGCTTGGGTCCCTCTCCCCAAGGGTCAGCTCTCGGGTTGTAACATGGAATTCTGTTCAAGCTGGGCAGTAACGTAGAGTCTAGGGCACCCAGACTGCCACCCTCTGTAGGAGGTCTCATATTTAAAAAGGCAGTAGCACATTTCTGGGAGTTCCTGGGCAAATGAGCCCAGCTCAGCACTCCTGCCCCAGCCCTGGCCTGAGTGAGTAGGAGGCACCTGAAGACCCAGATGAGGGTAGGAAGCCTCAGTCTCACTACCCTGGAGACCTGGATTTTGCTAGTAACAATGCATTTCCTTTATGGAACAGCATTTCTTTCTTTTTTAAAAAAAATTTTGTGGGGGAGGTAATTAGGTTTATTTATATATTTTTTAAATGGACGTACTAGGACTTGAACCCAGAACCTCTTGCATGCTAAGCATGTACTCCACCACTGAGCTATACCCTTCTCCCTTAATTTAATATTGTCAAATTTAAGAAACCTGAAAATCTGCCCCAAAGCCACACACTACTTTCAAAACTATTTGCCTCCAGGTGTTCTTTCAGCTCCCCAGGTTCCCCCTCGGCCCCTAGTGCATGGCTCTGCTCAGCCCCCTTTCCTTCCCTCTGCAGCCAGCAACTCCGACTCTGCCGCTCACACGCCCTCCTCCACCTTGTCACGGCCCCTGCTGGAGGCGCCATTTCTGAAGCCAGCTTGATACACAACCCAAAGCTATTTCTCGTCACTAAAATGGCTCATCTTGCACCAGACCAGCCTCTGGACCTGGACCAGGGGTTGGTGTCTGACGGAGACAGACTTTGAGATGAGCATCTTTCTACTTTCAGGCCTTAGTTTTCTAAAATGTGATATCAAAAGATTTGAACTTCACAAACTCTGAGACCCCTTCTCATCTCTAACTTCCCACTCCCATCTTGCCTGACCCTGAGGTTTTATAAACTCTTTCCTACACCCTCCTCCAAACCACACACCCACCCCTTCCCCCACACCCCCTGGTGGTTCCAGGTCACCTTATAACACAATGTAAGGAGAGAGATGGGGGTCAGGGAGAGAGATGCAGAGAATAGAGAAGGTGGCAGAAACGGAGGAAATGTGAGAGAGAAGAAAGAGAAATGGCAAGAATCAGAGGACAGGCAGCCAGAACCAAGGCCCTTCAGAGCCGGCATCTGCCCCAAGTTGCTCCTGAACAGAAAGATCTTTGCTGGCTCTTTAAAAACATCTGAGAAAAGCTCCAGTGTCCGTGATACAGGACCATCACTCCTCCCTAATAGCCCCTCTGCCTCACTCTTTGGCAACCTGCTCAGAAACCCATTCGGAAGGGCAAGGCAGAACTCTCCAGGGGCCAGATTAGTTCTCCCCTCCCTCCTGGAGCTGGGAGACAGGCTCTGGCCTGGATACCTCGGGGGCTGGAAGTCAGGGTCGGGGTGGGATGCAGAAGGTTCAGGGCCCAGCGTTCCCCAAGAGATAGGAGGGGTAGGCTGCTGCTTTTCCAGTGGAAGAGAAGCAGGGGTCTCAGTCTCCCAGGACAGTTGAAGACATACCCATTTTAACCCACTTTGCCTTTCTTCCCCATCCAGAGCCCCCAGCTCAGGGGAGCAAGTCCTGGGGCCACCATGAAAGCCAGAGGCTGCCCATGTCCCTCTGGGCTGGGCTGGGCTGGGCTGGGCTGGGGCAGAAGCAGACTGCTGCTGGGTGGTTCTCTGGGGAGAAGGGGATTGAAAAGCATCTCTGAGGAGGACAGGGAGGGAGGGAGGCTGGGTGGTGGACACACACACACACACACACACACACACACACACAGCCTTTCTGACTTAGCCTAAGTCCCACTTGGGAGACGAGCCGTCTTCTCTCTGCTCTTGGAACTACGCTCTGCTGCTTCCCCGCCCATCTGTGCTGTCAGCAGCTCCGGCAAAGTTGGTCTCCAACTTGAACGGAGCTGAAGACTCCAGCTTCCTGGAGCTCCACGGAGCAGCAGGCAGGCCCAGCCTCTGGACTCAGCTGGCCTGGAGAAGCCAACCCTGCCAGCCCCCAGCTGGTCCCTGCCCTCCTGGGTGACACGTCTGCCCCTGACCTATAGGCCTCTAGGCTGGGCTGAGGAATGGTGCACTGAGGTCCCTCTGGAGCCCCTCGTCCAGGTCTGGAGCTGGACCAGCCCAAGACCCAGGCCAACATGGCCAACCCCGGGCAGACTCAGTTTGCCCCAGCGCAGGGGCCAGGCATCGCCTCACCCCTGGACCTGCCGGAGATGGAGAAGCTCCTCACCAAGGTCGGGGGCCAGGATGACAAGCCCCTGAAGCTGTCCAAGTCCCTCTCGGGGGCTTTGGACCTGGAGCAGAATGGCCATGGCCTGCCGTTCAAGGTGGTACCCGAGGGGCACCGGGAGCCCTCACTCGCCCTGTCATCCTCCCGGGCCAGCTCGAGGCGGCCGTCCTCCATTGCCACCACCTCCTATGCCCAGGATAGAGAAGTTCCCAAAGATTACCTCATCCTTGCCATCGTCTCCTGCTTCTGCCCTGTCTGGCCCCTCAACCTCATCCCCCTCATCTTTTCCATCATGGTAAGTGCTGCTCTTTGTCCAGGGCAGGGGCTGGTCTGGGGTCGGCAGGCATGTTCCCCTGCCAGGCACCAGGCACCCTGCCTAGGGTGTGGAGAAAAGAGCTGGGGGCTGGGGAGACGACCCCCTTTCTCAGCCGGCCTATGACTCTCCCTTGGAGAAGGGTCCAGGGGCCCGGAGAGCTTCTGTTTGCTGTCCTCCTTCATCTCTGCTCCTGGACATCACAGTCACAGCTTGACCTTGTATACATACCTGCTGGGAAGGGGATTCTAGAGAGCCACCTGGAGCTATGTTCTGCACTGCAGAAAGACAGCCAAGCGGGGGGAGCTTGCCTTTGTGGGGGTCGGGGGCATGGTCCCAAGGAGCCATTTCTGAGTGGGGCTGTGACTCAGCACAGGTTGCAGCCAGCATGGGGTCCCAGGGCCCTGTGTTCTCAGGAGGGAGCCAGGCACTGCCCCACCCACTCCGGGGGACTCCTGGGCATTCTAACAGCCTCTGCCGGCTCTGGTTTCCAAGAGCCGGCAGTGGCTTCCCTGCTGTGCACCGAGGGCCCTGGGGCCTGGCTCCCCCAGGGCTGTTCCTCTGGAGGGAACTCCTCACTGGGGCCCTTGGGCCTCGCCTTTGCACTAATTTCAGCATCTGTGTTCAGGGTAGGGGAGGTCTGAGCCAAGGGTGGAGAACACGTGTGTCAGAGGGCATGGCTGGTCCTACCAGGGAGGGGCATGTGGGCTCGTCTCTGCTTCTTCCACACTTGTGCTGTAGGGTTCTGAGTAAATTGTCTTAGATCGTCCCCAAACCAAGTCATCTGGATAGAACTACTTACAGAGGAGCCATAGTAAATGTTGGTAGATGTTGGCAAGTGACTTTTGAGGTCCAGGAAGGAGAGAGCAAGAGAGAGAGCCAGAGAGGGAGAGAGAGTGCAAACCTGGCAAGGAATGAATTTCAGAATGAGGTTAGGAGCAGAGGATGGTAATTGCCAGCCCCAGGCTGGGCAGGGCCGGAGGACTGAGTGGAGAGACCCTGTCTGCTTTCCTCTGGAGTGACTCCATGGCTGAGTCACCCATCTTCCGGCCCCCAGGTCCTGTAGCCATCCCTGCTGCCTGTCTGGCCTCTGAGACAAAAGCTTATTTCCTCATACATCTCCACCCACTTCACTGGGGCCCAGTCTCCAGCCAGGGGAGCCTTCCCTGACCGCCATCAAATCCAGCTAAGTAGGGATAAATAGGGGACACTGGCAGTGTTCCTGAGTTCGAGGGATTTGGCGTGGGTACAAGAGCCAGGGCTGGGCAGGGCCATTGAACAACTAACTTCCTGGGCTGCTCGCCGCACTTGGGGGCAGCTCGGGGCAGAGCCAGGCCTCAGGGGGCAGCCAGTGGCTCCCGGCAGGGCCCACCTCTTGGTTACAGGGAGAAGCCCCAGGAGGGGAGACAGGCTTTGGGGAGGGAAACCACACAGAGGCCCAGGAGAAAACGGTTGCTAGAATCTCCTGCCGTGGGTAGCAGGGTGTGAGCTGGGTAGGAGCTGCTTTTGTCAAAGGAAACTTGGGCCCCAGGCTGTGAGACCACAGAACCTACCCCCAGTGTATTTCTACATCCTTCTCAGGTTTTTTTTGTTGTTGTTGTTTTTACATTTCAAATATATCTTACTACTTTTCATCTCAGAAAGAATATGAAACCTGCATGCAATGCTAATGGTCTCTCACATTTACACAGCATATGACACAGGAGTGCAATGCAGCCATCTCAGATTCTTGAGTCACCGGGCCTGGGGCAGGGAATACGGTGCTAAACCAGATGCCGTCACCAATTCCCATGAGCCTCCTGTCTGGTGGGGAGAAGCTTGTAAACAAATCCTTACAACACATTGCAAGAAGCGCCCACGCTAGACAAAACCACAAGGTATTGTATGGCTTCAGGCAAGTCACTCAAACCTCTCTTCTCCTCATTATTCCCATCTGCAAAATGGGTGTGAGCATAACACCTCAATTGCAGAGTTGTATGAGGATGAAATGAGACAAACCACACAAAGTACTAAAGAACAACACAGCGCATAGTAGGTGCTGTTTCATGGTAGTTGTAATTGGGTGAGTGTCTCTCTGGTAGGGGATGGGAAGCCATCACAAGTTTGTTGGGGTTTTTTAGAGCTTTGAGATATAATTCACATATCATACAGTTCATCCATCTAAAGTGTACAACTCAACGATTTTTTAGTATAGTCACAGATAAGTGCAACCACAGCCACAGTCAATTTTAGATTACGTTCCTCACCTCCAAAAGATACCCCATACCTTTCCTCTATCACACGCCCCCATCTCTCCCAGACCTAAGCAATCGCTGATCTTCTTTGTGTCTCCATGGACTTGCCTCTTGTAAACATTTCATACACAGACACACCTCGTTTTATTGCGCTTTCCTTAACTGTGCTTTGCAGACACTGTGTTTCTTACAAATTGAAGGCTTGTGGCAACCCTGCATCGAGCAAGTCTACCAGTGCCTTTATTTTCCAACAGCATTTGCTCACTTAGTGTCTCTGTGTCATATTTTGTTAATTCTCGAAATATTTCAAACTTGTTTGTTCTCATATTTGTCACGGTGATCGGTGATCTTTGATGTTACTATTGCAAAAAGATCACATGACCCACTGAGCAATGATGGTTAGCGTTTTTTAGCAATAAACTATTTTAATATTAAGGTATGTACATTATTTTTCAGTACAGTACTATTGCACACTTAATAGACTACAGGAATGTGTAAACATAACTTATATGCACTGGGAAACCAAAACGTTTGTGTGACTCGCTTTGTTGTGATAGTCATCTTATCGAGGGGGTCTGGAACTGAACCCGCAATGTCTCCGAAATTGTGAATGGAATCATACAATATGTGGTCCTTTGGGACGTGCTTCTTTCACTTGGCAGCATGTGCTCAAGCATCACCCATGCTGCAGCAAATACAACACAGGGTTTGGAGCCAGAGAGGGGTGTGGTCAGACTAACATTTTGATGGATTAGTCAGGTACAGGGTGAGAGGAGGGAGTAAAGGGGACCCTCTGAGCCTAACATTTGGGAGAGGGGACCTTTGCAGGAATGCAGGTGACAGATGAAGAGGCGTGGAGCAGGGCAGAGGGGGTTTCTGGAAACCTAAAAGTTAGTAACATAGATCATTCATTCATTCAGAAGACCATTCACTTGAATGGCAAGTTGCTTGTTTGCAGGGAACCAAGTGGTAGAGGATGACTAGGCTCCTCATGAACGAACCAGGCACCACACTAGGCATTTGGGAAGGAGAGAATAAGACATGGGCTGTGTGGCACGGCAGAAGGATGTGAGACTGTGGTGGGGGAGGGAGGTGGGCAGGGCACCTGATCTACGAATCTAAGTTTTATCTTAGTGGCCCTGAGGAGTCCATGAAAAATTTTAAGCAGAGGCACGATGCAGTCAATTCATATTTTAAAGCCAACACCCAACTGCATTGTGGGAAATGAGCTCGAGCAGGCAGGACTGGGAGCAGGGAGACCCCCTTGGAGGCTCCTGAGATGGTCCAGGCTGGATGCTGAAGGCCTGGACTAAGCAGTGGGCTTAGAAAGGAGGGCACTGATGAGAGTGGTAAGGAAGATGGACCTGTGCTTGCTCTCCACGACTGGTTACCCAACCAAAAAGCAGTGGAGTCGTCTTAGAGAGAGCTCTGGGGACTACGGCATTTAAGCATAAAGGGGAAGTGGACAGCAAAGGGTTTTGAAAAGAATATTCCAAGAGGTGGGAAGAAAACTAGAAAAGTGGGAGAGACATCCAGGGTCAAGTGAATTTGAAGGAGAAAGTCATCAAATGAGGAGGAGAGATCAGGTTCAGTGAGGATGGGAGGGTCCACTGGCTTGGCCACTGATAGACCCCTGGTGAGCCTGGTGATGGAGAGGCTTAGACAGATAAGGGAGAGGTGACTGATGAGGTGAGGTCCTTGAAGAGTGGAGTGATGGGATCCAGAAGAAGGACCCCTCCCTGGGAGCCTGGCGGAGGGGCCATGTGGGCAGAAGCAGAGAAATCCTCAAAGGAAAGGGAGGTGGTTCCATGCTGTCTGGGCTCCGTGCCGCCAGGGACGTGGAGGGCAAAGTCATTTGCTGAGAAATAGTGGCCTGATGGCAAAGGGGAGGAGAGGTGACCAGGGACAGACAGGTCAATGACCCAAAGGCTCTGCTGAGGCTGGAGACCGTGAGTCTGAGTTGTAATCAGGCTGCATGGTGATGTGGTTTTACTCTACCGACAGGCATAGGGTGATAGGTGTGACATGAGGGCGACCAAAGGTTGGGGATGGCAGGATTGCCATGATAGCAGAATCAGGTGGCGCAGAAGATGCTGGCAAGGGTGGCTGAGATGATGCATCGAAGAATCGGGCTAGATTGGGAGGGAGTGAGGCTGAGAAGATGGCGATAGCCTTGGAGGAGTGGAAGAGACCAGAGGTTGGGGCTCAGAGAAGTCAGAGGGCAGGTGCTGTGAGAGTGAGTGGGTAAGAGAGATGCTGAGAGTTGAGATTTCAGAGGAGGAACCAGGTTGGGTGATGGCCAGGGTGGAGTATAGTTGTAGAAATGAATTTCTAAAGGGAATTGTTAGGAGCCAGGGAGAAGAAACCAGAGGAAGCCCAGTGTTGAGAGATAATGTTCACTATGTGCTTACTAAGTGTTAGGCACAGGCCCAAATTCTTCACATACATTATCTCATTTATTCTGGACTATAGCCGTAGGAGGTCCAGGCATTGTTATTATTCTCATTTTACAGGTGAGAAGACAGAAGCATGGAGATATAGTCATTGGGAGCCCAGGATTGGATGCTGAGAGCCAGTGCTCATGTTCCCACCCACTACACTGCCTGCCTCTGGGAATCAGTGGGGAGCAGAGATGGGGACCGTTACTGGGTGTTCCCACAGCTGCCTCCTCTCTTCTGGGAACCAGCCTAGTTCATAGGACTCTCCCATTCCCCAGGGAGGGAGGGGTCACTTATTTATCTAGGGCTGAAACACTTGGTCCCACACAAAAAACAGCAGGGGTGAAGGAGAGACAGAGAGTGTGGAGAGTTAAGTCTCCACACTGGTGTCTCTAGGTCCTGGGAATTGACTTGAGAACTCCTCATCTGAAGTCCTCCCCACTGATTACCAAGTGAAGGGTCAAACCCTTGACGCCAGAGTGGAGGGAGACCCACAGCCCTGACAGTCTCACTAGAGCTCACTGTCTCTGCAGCATGTCCTAAGGGGAGGCTGATAGAGTCTGGCTCATTGTTCCCATTTAACAGATGAGGCAATAGAGGTGTGCAGGACAGTGCCTTGTCCACAGTCACACAAATGAGGCACATCAGCTGGATATTGAATCCAGTATTCTCTTCTTGGCCCCACCCCACATGCAACAAGGACCTTGGGGACAAGGATGGTGTGTCCCTCCCAGGAAAGCGAAACCTTTTGGCCATTTGTGTATGGAGGGCATAATTCCACTTCCTTCCCTCTTTTTCTCCCCCACCTCCAGTGACCTCCTGCCTGCCACCTACTCACTCCATCAGAGGAAAACTAATGGACTAACAGTGTCCTTCCCACTGTGGCTTTGACAGGGGCCTGCTGGGACCAGGGCTGGGATCGGGGCTCAGGAGCTGTGATCACAGGTGTCTGGACCCAGCCCTGCTCAGCACCACAGCCTCCTGTGAGCCTCCTCATGGGGCGGCCAGCGCAAGGCTGGCTTCATTGCTTCTACTTCTGGGTCGGGCTGAGAAGTCACCGTGCTCCCCAATGTCAGCAAGGTCTCCTGCCAAAGAGGGGCGCTGGACCCCAGGCAGCGGACCTTCTGTCCACAATCGCAGTAAAACAAGCATCAGATAGACTGGGTGTGCATCCCATCTCCAGCCCCGTTAAGTCACATGACCATGTCCTAATCACTCCACCTCCTTCCTTAGCCTGTTTCCTCATCTGGAAAATATGTGTAATAAAACCGTCTACCTCACAGGGCTGTGGGGAGGGTTAAATGAACTAATGGTGTGCCAGAGCCTGGCACACGGTAAATGCTTAATAAATGGAAGCAGTTGCTGTTGTTATTAATGTTAAATGAAAGTGCAATGTCAGAGGAAAGGGTAAACCCAGCGCACAGGAATCTCTGGCTTTTGGCAATTTGGATTTGATGGAGTCTCACCCCTCATTACAAGCCCCAGGGTTGGGGGGCGGCCCTGTCTGTGGTTTTGGTGGACGGCTCTGAGCAGTCCTGTCTCTGTGGGTTGTTCCTACAGCATGTGGAAGCATTGCAGTCGTCCAGAGTGGCTTCAGCGCTTCCTTACTTAGGCATTTTTGACAACTTAATTATTTAACTGATGTGTTTTGCAGGCTCACTTTCATTCATTTCTGCATTATGCATTCATTCAACAAGAGTGCTAAGCCCCGAGCAGGGCCGACGGTCAGCTGGCTCGCAGGCATATGGCTTAAGATATTGATGTACTTCTGAATCAGCTGGTAAACGGCTACTGTCTCAAGCCCCTAAGCTTTTCCAATCCTTCCCACCCACCACTGCAGTGGCCCTGACTCCTCCCCCAGGACCTCCCGCCAGCCCTCCCCAGTCTCCAGCAATGGAAGGGTTAACCTGTAGTTAGGACATTTCAGAACCAACTGCATGGTTGCAGAGAGTGATGTGAAAGGGGCACAGAGAAGCATGTTCCTTTGTTTGACCCGCTGAGAGATGCTTGATCTCTGCAGAAGGGCTAATGACTGACTCGCCCTGGCACATCTTGTCAGTTCTCCTGAGATCTGCTGGGCCTTGGCCTGAGCCTCGTGGGTGGAGGAAGCTCCTGAACCCTCCTCTGGCTGGTTTCAGCCTCTGGCAGCTCTTTCCAGCATCCTTCTCATCCCATCCTCCCCCCTCCCCACATTCAAACTTTTTTCAGTGTCTTTGCTCGCTGATCTATTAGCCTGAATTCGTTTTCTCACTCAGCATTCCCACAGCCATTGCAATCACAAATGATCTATTAATTCAGTCATTACAACCATTACTGCAATTAGTATTACTGCGCCTTCAACTTGGGCCATTTTGTATAAGGGGAAGGTGATGCCACTAAGTGGCAATGGGAGAGCCGCTGGTAATTTACTCATAAAAAGAACTGAAGGTTTTTTTCCATCCCTGAAATCAAAGGATGGATCTTTCATTTGGTAACTAATGGCGGGCGTCGGGGTGAGGATTCAGAAATGAGTGCCAGCTAGCAGTGGAAAACCTCTCATCTAAAAGTAGGGCACTATTCTTAGAGGCAGCTACTTCTGCTCCACTTTACAGATCAGAAAACTGAGACTTACAGTGTAGTTGTGAGGCTCACGCTGGATAGTGTGTACAAAGTGTCTGACACAACAATGCATCTATAATCATGTCTGCTCTGTTCCACCTGGCCATTCCTAGTGTATCTCCTCAACGGTGTCCTCAGGCTTGAAGGAACACGTATGACTGGACTGCATGCACTGTGGATAAAGAAGAGTGATTGGGTTCAGTGTAGCTGAAAAAAAAATCTTTCCCTCTGCTATTCCTCCCCACCTCATACCCAAGGAACTATGTGTCTCTCCGTGGTTCTGAATCATTACTGCATGGATAACTGTTCCTCTGGAAAGTGGGAGGCAGGACTCATCTCAAACCCTGTTCCCCTCCCCGTGATGCCATGCTTAAGCCCAGAATGAGTCCCTTGATAATGATTCAAGGTAGCCCCAGAATTTCTGAAGCTGAACTTCCTGGAAATCCTGGAAGCCTTCCTGTATGTTGCCCCCTCTTCCTCCCAATGTTGCCTTGATGTTGGTGCCCTGAGATCAGCGACCTGGGCTGGCCATGCAGCGAGCTGGCCATCCATTAGAGCATTTTACCCTCGACCACTCCTAGGAGGCAAGGCCTGTTATTAGGCCATTTTACAGGTGAGGAGCTGGAGCATAGAACATCACGCAGGCGTGGTCAGAGAAGCAACTGGGGAGAGGCCAGATCAAGAAGGGCCCCAACTCTCACAAAGTGGAACCTGGATTTTGTCCTGTAGACATTGGGGAGCCTACAACCTGGTGAGACAAGTGGAGGATTTCTTCAAGGCAGGAGAGAAAAAGATCCAATCAAGAGGGAGAGGGTGAAAAGACCAAGAAATGACTGGCGTCTCAATGTCCCCAGACAGCAGGGAGAGGCTGAGGTCTGAACTTGAGCTTGCATAGTTCCTGCCACAAAGTAAACGTTCAGATAATGCTAGGGATTATGATTATTCCAGTGGAGATGGAGGAATCTTGGTGGGCTTCACAGAGAAGGTGGCACTAGAGCCAGCCCTTGAAGGATGGAGAGGATTTGGATATGTGTGTTGTGGGGGAGCAGGAATGCAAGCAGGAGAAATAGCGTGAGCAAAGGCAAGTGGAAGTCGGTGCTCATAGCCTGAGCAGCTCAGATTGGTGGACCCAGAGGTTATGGAAGAGAGTAGTAGAGGGTAAAATCAGAAAATGCAAAGGTAACCTGAGTTTGAACTTTGTTCTGCAGACAGTGGAGGAGGGTGGGTCATGGATGGTGCTGAACAAACAAGAGAGATTGCCTCAGTCACTATCATCTCACTGAGTTTTCGCATCAGCTCCTGACTGTCCTCTGGTCCCACACTACAGCCAGGCCCTGGGGTCTGCAGGGGCCTGGCTTAACTCTCCCACCAGCTCAGCATGGCTGGGACCCAGTCCACCCTCCCAGGCCCTCTGTCTCCACTGTACCATCCTGCCACAGCCACCCGGCCCATCACTGTCCTGAGACAATGCCACGAATTGCTTGGTAATACTTCCAACGGTCTCCAGCCAGTAGGGGCAGGCTTGGTTAGGGGGCCCCACAAGAGGTCTGGCCAGTTGAGTCCAGGCCAGCAGTCCCCTGGAGATGGAGCAGGGCGAGCGCTGCACAGAGGAAACCCCGGTGGGGGGAGGGTGCAGGGGTGTGGTGACCCCAGCCTCCTGCCTCCCCCCTGAGGGGGCTGCTGGAGTGTGGGCTGCAGTGGGGACCAGGTGTGTTCAGGAGTCTCAGGCAAAGGGTGCCCCATAGGGCCACTGAGGACAGCCTTCCCGAGGTCTCTGCCACCCTCTCTCTGCAGTCTCGAAGTAGCGTGCAGCAGGGGGACCTGGACGGGGCCCGGAGGCTGGGCCGCCTGGCCCGGATGCTCAGCATCACCTTCATCATCATGGGGATCGTCATCATCATCGTGGCCGTGACTGTCAACTTTGCAGGTGAGGTCCAGCCCCACGCCAGCTTGCTCGGTGTGGGGACTGAGGAAGGGCGTGGCCCAGTCCCCTGGGAGAGGGGTGGTGTCGGGGAGAAGGATACGAACATGTGGGGCCATAGCCTTTTCCTAGAAAAACAACCCAGTCCCCTGCAGGGACCAGCCGAGCGAGGTTGGCTTTCCGACTTGTCTTACACCTGGAGAGATCACTAGGAAAGGGAGTGGGAAGAGGACGGGCCCAGGAGTCTGAGGCCACGAGCCCCAGCCTCAGCTCTGAAGGTCCTGGGACCGGCATCAATGTCTGCCTGGTGGAGCCTCAGGGTTTTCACGCTGAGAGTGGTAGGAAGAAGCCTCCAGCATGAGGCTTTTGTGAGCATCACCTCAGATAATGCATGTGACTCTGCTTTGTAAACTGGGAGCTTGCTAGACAAGCATCGCCGGCTGAGACAGCCAGAACATCCTGGAAGTAAACCATGCGTGTGATGGAAGTCAGGACGTACACTTCCGTGATCACCCAAACGTGGCCCAGGGAAGTTATCCAAGCAGGGGGACCATTTTCAAAGGTGACACTTAGGTGCTCATGAAGCCCAGGCAGCTTTGTGAGCTCCTGGGCCACACAGGTCAGTGTTTGTCCATTTCCCTCCCATCACACACTCACACTGGGAGCTTCCAAGCATCTCTGCCCTTTTAGTGATCAACACAAACTGTTCCCCTAAAGACCTTGCCACTTCACACATGCTCCATGGACCAGGCACAGTGGATACTGACAATGGTAACAGATCAGAAATGCAGAATCTCAGGCCCCACTCCAGACTCACTGAATCAGAATCTGCTTCTTAATAAGATTCCCAGCCCAACCATTAAAGTTTGGGAGCCACTGGTCTGGAACATAGTGTTTGACTTAGGGCAGAAAGCCTGGGATTCCACCATGGGGTCATGGGCAACCTTGGTGTCCTAGGAAAGGGAAGAATTCAGGTTTGTAATCAGCCTGCCCAGGTTCAAAATGCAGGTCCTCCACTTTATCTGTCGATTGCAAGTACAATCTATAATCTCTGAGTTTGACATGCAGGTGCCCGAGAGGCAGGAACCCATCAACCCAGGGCAAGAGCCTCGGTATCACCTTCCGATGCTGGAGTCTCTTTGTCCTGTGGCTGCTTGTCACCTTAGCCAGGACACTTTGGATGGCAAGTGACAACTACTGACCTCAAACTGGCAAAGGGGATTGTTTCACTTTCACTAGAATATTCAATCATTGATGGCTCTGTCCTCAGGGGTCACTGCCCCACCTCTGAACCAATCACCAAGGCCCCAGTCCTCTCATGGGCAGGAGTTCATTTCCACCAAGAGCCCCAAATCAGATCACCCCTGTTACCATTTCTGACTAGGAAACCAAAACCCAAATCCTCAAAACAGGGACCGGAAGACCCCATGTTCTGAGCTCTGTTCTGCCATAATTTTTTTTTTTCAACAGTCCAGAAGAAATAAAACTTGGGGGCTGTGCGAGCAGAGGCAGGCCCCGGCCCACGGGAGAGCTCCAACCCGCACGCCCCACGACCACGGAGGACAGGACAGTGACTGCCAAGGCCCCACCTGTCCCCCAGCTCCAAAAGCACAAACTTAGAGGGAAACCCTCAAGTCACCCTACTGTCAGTCCACATCTAATGGGAAAAACCAGAGCAAGAAAGGAAGGGAGGAAATGAAACTGACTGTGAAACCAACAAATAACGTGGTTTAGTCTCAGGACATATCCTGGCAGTTTAACCTCAGGGTTCTGGCTGGTTTCTCATCCCCACAATTTCCTGGGTTCTACCAAGCAGCATATACTGCCAGAGTGAGAAGAAACCAGCCCCACAAACAAGACTACGGTGGGGAGAGAGGTAGCACCGTCCCTGCATGTCTAATGATCAGGAGCAAACACGTGGGACTTTACCTTTTGTATTTTTCTTGAGGCGGGATAAAAGACTGTGTGCATGCCTTGTGCCCCATGCCTGCTGCGATCCCAGCCGGTGCTCAGAGCTCAGAGGCCAAGCTGCTGCTTCGCACATGCCCTGGAACCCCTCGGACACACAGGATGTGCAGCTGCCCTGGAAGAGGCCGCAGCCACACTTAAATCCTCCATCGCAGGGTGGAGGCACCGAGAGGAATGCCGGTGAAGGCAGGAACAGGGACAGCACAACCCATGGACCTCTTCCCAAGCTTTTCAGCCACAGGAGCATCTCCCAGGATGACCCAGTCTGCCTCTTGCTCCTACCTGGGCTGTAGCCTGGGGCACCAACCAAGAACTCCTGGGGCCTGACCCCACCTCCAGGTCAGCCAGTGAAGGGGAATCCATGCCTGAGCTCTCATCCTGCCATGGCCTCCTTGGAGGACTGGGATACAGACCTGGGGATACAAATCCCAGTGGCCCACCTGGGGAATAAACTCCAATCTCATGCCAAGGGGCTCAGGGCCCCCATGCAGAGTGGCAGAGGGTCCTCATGTAGAATGGCTCAGGTAGGGCATGGGCTCCCAGCCCAGCTGCATCTGATGCTCTGTGTCTCACCCTGTGCCCCTGGCCATCCACATACAGCAAAGGCTTCCCCTGGAGTCGGCTTTAGAACCACTGCTGGTGGGTTTTCCCATGGGCTTTCAGGACATTAGGGGTGTCTGTGCCTCCTGCAGGGGCAGGGGCTGAAGAGTTTTTAATGAAGGTTTGTTGTTTATTGGATCTAGAGATTCCAAGACAGAGGGAAGAGCTCAGCTGAAGGGTCCTGACTTCGGGGACCCCAGGTTTGGGAACACACTCACATGTCCCAAATCAGGGGCTGGGCACCATGGCCTCTGTCTCAGGACCTAATGGGACACCTGCAAGGAGTTAAGCAAAGCCACTCAGACTTCTCCCTGGTCCTTCTTCCTCCCACTGCCCCTGCTGGTGCAGCCCCCAAGTCCCCAGAGAGGGGTGCTCCAGGCTTTCCCACACTGGGAGAATTCCAGCCAGGGTTGCAGGTGGTTGGGTGGGCAGGTTCTCACACTGGCCCCAAGTTGGCCAAGGATGTTTCCTCTGCACTGTTCAGGACCCTCAGGCCTCCTTTCAGGGCCCCTGTCTCCTCCACACTCCTCAGAGACTCCTAGGAGCCTGTTAGCACAGCTGGGAGGGGCAGTGGGTTCTGGGTGCAGCTCTGAGCCTTCTCAAAGGGCCTGTGTGACTGAGGGGAGGGTTCAGGGCCCAGGGACACCGGGCAGATCCCTCTGGGGCTGGTGTTCCTGCATCAGTGGCCCACCTGGGGAATAAACTCCAATCTCTCCCTACCCTAAAGCAAAGGCCAGCTGGATTTGCTTTATGGGAAATTTGAGGCCAAAATAAAGATGCATCTGTTTGTTGGGGGAGGGAGGGGATGAGCCCAGAGTCTTTGTGTCACTTTCAAAGTTGAGCCAGGCCAGGGGAGTCGTGAGGTCTATGAATCTGACATTCACAGGCCCCAGCTCTGGTTATGAGTCAGCTGTCCCCTGGCAGGCTCCAGGGGTCCCTGGCTTCAGCCCCCCAGGGAGGAAAGAGCAGTGAAGCAGACTGTCTAGGCCTGGTCTCACGGGGAAATGATGGCAGAGGTGGTACTGCGGCCTCTGTGTGCGCTGGGACCATCTCACACACCCAGACCTGCCCCACCCTTGGTAGTCACACCCACACCATAAGCCCCATGCCCACGCGCGTGCGCACGTACACACTCGTTCATACTCCAAACCCAGAAGAGTGGAGACAGAGAGAAGCCACAGCAGACAGTGGCAGGAGCAGGCACAGCCGGAACACCCTTTCAATCAGGCAAGAAAAACTTGAGAATTTTCTAGTTGTACCAGGGACGGAGCTCAGAGGCCTCCCAGGTGTGTGGAAGGAGCAGAGGCCGCAAGGGACCGGCCCTTCAGGCAGAGAGGAGCCCAGGGCTGGAGGACGGGAGACCCTTTAGAAATAAGACTGGGAGGGAGGGTCCCTGCTGCCCCCCCACCCCACAGGCAGCCTGACACCCCAGACCTCGCTGAAGACGAAGGAACGGCAGCCCCGCTGTCCCAGCTCTGCTGGCTGCATGAACACGGCGGGCCCCTGGCTCGGGGTCTCCCCGCATCCCATAGGGAACAGCAAGCACTACCACCCCCCCAGCTGCCGGCCCCAACTCACCAGTCCTCTCCTCTGTATTTCTCAGCATGGAAAGAAATAAAGCTGACGGTCCGCGCTCACTTAGGGCCTGTGTGTTTGTGCTGCTGGTGGGGTGAGGTGGGGTCAAGGGGTTCCAAACAACTTGGGGAGGCACTGGAGAGCCTGGCTGTGCCGGGGCTCCAAGGCCAGCATGAGGCTTTCTCCTGGGCAAGTCGTCGGTCCTCTCTCGGCCTCAGTTTCTCTGGTGAGCAATGCTGGTCCCGCCTTCCCTTGGTGGTTCCTTCTGCCTGTGAACAAAGACCTTGGGCATTGAAGAGGGCAGGGGGCTGTGCCAGGCATGGAGTAAATCACACGGCTGCCTGACGGGGCCGCTAGTGTTACCCCGGGGTTCAGATTGGTAAATTGAGGCTCAGACAATTGTCCCAGGTCACACCACGCCTGGCCTGCAGAAGGTACGGAAGAAATGTTGGTGAACGGACTGTAGCCCTAGGTCTGACCCCCAGGCTGGCTTCTTGCTGCCATGTTTTGCTGCTTGGACGGGAAAGCCCTGTGGAAGGGAAGTGAGAGTTCGAGTGCATGTGTGTGTGGAGGGGGAAGGGCGGGAGGAGGGATCATTTCGAAGGCTGCAGGACGAGGCAGGCGGGGTTGCTTGACTGTGGAAGGTGGGTGTGGGCAGAACACGAGGCTGGGCAGCCGGTGGGAAGGGAAGGGACTGCCGTGTGGCCAGGATGAGGCGCCCACACCGAGGGCAAGAGGCTGGGGTGGGGCAGGGAAGGAGGGAGAGTCACAGGGCTCGAGAGGCAGCCCAGCAGAGCGGATCAGGGTGTGGAGGTGGGGCCAGGCTGCCTGGGTTCAAATCCTGCCTGGCCACTTCTTGGCTGCATCTCTTTGGGGAAATTCCTTCCAACCAGACCAGGAGCCAGGGGAGCCTTCTCATCTGTCAGCACCGGGCTCCATGTTTTGCATAAATTATCTCATTTAAACCTCACATCACCTCCGTGAGGTGTGTCTTCCTATTTTCCTAAGAAGTAAACGAAGCTGAGAGAGGCCCAGGCACTTGCCCAAGGCCACACAGTCAGGAACCCATGAAGCAGGGCAGTCCTTCTGGAAGCTTTGGTGACAGGAGCCTCTTCCCCCACCTGAAAAAGTCTGAGAGCCATTCCAAGGGAGTTGGCCACTTCAGCGTCTTTTCCCTGCGCTGCCTGGCACGTGATGGCCACCGTTCTCTGTAGCTTTTTGTTTCACTGCTGCACTGTGATCTTTCCAGAGGCATTTTAAGCACGACCTGGGGGTCCAAATTAAGACGAAATGCCACTAGTGTAATGTTGCCAATTTAATAACACTCAGGTAAATGGACACATTTTACACACAGGCACGGCCAGGAATGGTCACATCACTGTACCGCCCGGCTGGGTGGTCTGAAAGTTTTTGGGCATCATTTGGCAGATACAACCCAATTTTAGAAATATTGAAACTGGGGAAAGGGGGACATGTGACTGAGATTCAGCAAAGGAAAAACTGGAGCTTCTGCAATGCAGAAGGCCTCAAATGACAGGCGCTGTGCCCCGGGACCAGGGGCCTAGCCTCTCTGAACCTGGGCTCCCCACCTGTGAGCAGGGTGGTGGCCTGCTCTGCATACCCACAGGGCTGTCAGGGGCCCAGCAGCACGTCTTGGTGAACCAGGAGGACTAGATACACCTGGGGGACACGAATAGCCATTTCCCGGGGCACAGCTGGGAGGGTACCCCAGAATCTGGGAGGCGTTGGGCACCCCAGGCTGACCCTTGAGACTCTGCTCCCCTCCATCCCAGCCCTTCCTGACTAATCCCTCTCACTGACCCACAGAAGACCCCACCATGTGCCCAGGCCTCAAGCTTTCACTCCTTGGCAGTGTCACCTTGGGCGGCCCAGCCTCACTGGGCCTCAGTCTCTCAGGTAAAGGGGTGGCTGGGCTGGAGCGGGTTCCCAGTGGTGGCAGCACACTGGAGTCATCTGGGAGCTTGGGCCATGCTGGCGCCTGACTGCCGCTCTTAGAGAATTGGGTTTAAGTGGTGTTGGGTGTGGCCTGAGCAGCCGGACTTTTTAAAGCTTTCCAGGTGATCCCAATGGTTGTCTGAGGTTGGGAGACACTGGGCTAGACGCTTGAGCTTTCCTGCTCGGTGTAAACGGCATCACCTGGAGCTGTAAGAAATGCAGACACTCGGGCCACACACTGACCGGGGACACCTGCCCTTTGACAAGATCCCAGGTGGTTCATATGCTCTTTGACGTTGGGGACGCTCTGGGCTGGGTACTGGAAACCGAGTGAAGCGGGCCAGATTGGCTGCAGTCTCCCCTTCTCCTGTACCTTCTCCAAGGGCTCTTTTATCGCCCCTTTAAAAATAACAATTGTTTTCTTTTGTTTCTTACAACAAGAGTCTGTTGACTCAAACGAGGAAAATCGAAGCAATACTGAGACGCAAAGAGGACACAGAAACCCCTAGATGAGTTGAGGGGTCCCACAGCAGCCTGCACCCCACTTCCCAGAGTGTGAAACTGAGTCCCCCTAAAACCGAGCTCCCTTACCAAGTTTATGATTAGTCTCTCTACCCCAAACTTTATTCCCTTTCCCATCCCCTCTGACCTCAATCCGATGCTCACGGAACACTCAACAGCTGGAGTCAGATGACTCAGACTGCGGGCGTGGATGACAATGGCATGGGCTCAAACCGCTATTAGGATGGATAGCATCACTAATGTGCAAACTCAGGTTGTTTCTCCAGGGCAAGATGAGCTCACGGACCCCCAAGCCATGGACCATCTGGCCAGAGAATCTTCATCCAGAGACACCCTGATGCCCGAAACTACTGTTAAGACATGTCACAAGACAATGATTAATCCCAGCCAGTTTCTTCCCCTTCAGAAAAAAGCTCCTACCTCAAAGACCAAGTTGGAGTGATCTGAGGCTTGTCTCCCACTCCCTTGCTTGGCACCCAGCAATAAATCTTGACTTTGCTGCAAACTCCCATTGGCAGAGTTTGGCTTTCTGTGCTATGGGTACCTGAGCCCTTTGCTCGGTTATTTGTCTGTGAGGCTGCAGCTGTGGAGGAGACGTGGCCTCTGAGTGTGTGTGTGTGCATGTGCGCTTGGTGAGTGTGGCCCCAAAGTATAATTCCCTAGGAAGCCAGGACCTTCTCCCCTCCCCAAGCCTGTCACCCCCACCCCTGCCCCCATCCTGTGCACCTGCTGGAAGCTGCATGGGGCTGGAGGAGGCAGCAGGTGTCTTAAAGCTGGAAGCTTCCACTCACAACCAAAATTAACACCCTGGTTCTCCTGGGTCTCCATCCCTCAGACCCTGGGCCCTGGAGGATGAGTCAGGATGGGATCTTGAGAAGCTGGGATGTCTCTGGCACCCCTGTTCTTCAGCAGAAATTTCCATTCCCAGGGTTGGCCCATATGGTTCCTTTGTACTGATGGCCAAATCGGCCCCTCCAGGCTGAGGAGGTAAGGGAATTGTAAAAGGGCTCCCCTTCCTGGCTATGTTTGTAGCCTCTTTCCAGCCTGGAGCCCTGAGGACAGCTGGATTTCAGAGGCCTGGGCACAGTGGCACAGCCTGCCCACATCGCTCCTTTGCGACTGGGCTGCGAAGAGTCCCTCCCTGGAGCCGGAGAAGGGTTGGGGGAGAGCTGGTCAGCTAGAGGCTGGGCCCTGCCAGGGTTTCTGCCTCCTGCATTATTGATCTGCTGCCTGGTCGTGGACATGAATCATTCATCAGGGGAGGAAGCACGTGGATGGCAAACGCGAGGCACCCTGCCTCCGCCCCGCCTTGAGCTCAGGGTTTATTCCGCTTTGCTTAATGGGCTTGCAGGGAAGCCCTGCAGGTTCTCAAGTTTCTCCTCCTGCCCGCAGGGCAGGCCCAAAAAGGCCTCGCAAAATTGGGGTTGCAACGAACCCGGCTTAAAGGGGCTAGAGCTGCCCGCAGCCCCGGGGAGCAGAGTGGGCATCCTGGCTACGCTCTGGTCACCTGGGAGTCACGGGGCCAAAGCCCTTTAACCTGTCTGATTAGGGGGATGGTGTCCTGTGTGAGATGGCCCTGACATCGTCCTGATCCGCAGCACCTGCTTAGTAACATCGCTGTGGATGCCATTTGTCACAAATGGTGGATTTTTTTCATTGTTGCCAAGGTCTTGGTGAAGGGCTGAGGGCACCAGCTGGGAGCTGGGAGTGGGGTTAGCCTGCTTGGCGTGGGGCGTGGGCAGAGCCGCAGGGATGTGCGGCCTCTGCAGGCGGTGCAGAGGAGCGGGGCTGGCGGCGCGGGGGTGGGGTGGGGGGGAGGTGGTGCTGGTAGGGGAGGAAAGAACGACACAAAATCCCTCCAGCGATGTTCCCTCTCTGACCGAACTTTTCCGAACCAGTCTCAGGGGCTTCAAAGCCACCAGGGAAAGGCCGTGGGACCGCAGGTGCTGGAGCCCACCCGTTCCCTGATGCTGGGGCTCTCGGGCTAAGTTCTGTTCGATGGTTCCATTGAACACATGTTTATTAAGGGTGATGTGCAGTGTACAGCCTCAGACCAGACCCAGGTGTGCAAGAAATGTTTTCTTCTTTTCTTTATAACCCAATTTACTCTCTCCTTTGTCCCCATTCTGCCTGGTGGCAGGAACATAAGCCTAGGCAGTTCAGAGGTCCTTCCCCTTCCCAGGGATTACAGCAGGCCAATGCGTCCAGGACACAGGTAGCAACAATCTGGTCCTCGAGGTCATCTCGAGACAACCTCATTCTGTCACCTCAGTCCCTGCAGATGGCTACCGAGTCAACTTTCAGTATGCCTGAAATATTTACAGTCCGGCCTCTTACAGAAAAAGGTTGCCAATCCCTGATTTAGAGGATTTGTCAAAAAGTTCTGCTTATGATTTCTCCACCCTGGGCCACAAGGAAGAGTGTCAAGTCTGACAGTATATCACAGATCCTCTTTCAAAGCAAGAAAAAGCAACTGTGTACCCTTCGGCAATTGCTGCTGAAAACTAACTGCAAACATCAATAATGATAATAATGCTGGTTTTCATGTTGGTCATTTTCACTCTTTGCAGGCCATATGGTCTCTGTTGCAACTACTTAACTCTGCTGTTGTAGCACAAAGGAGCCATAGACCACACAAAAATGAGTACGGCTGTGTTCCAATAAAACTTTATTTACAAAAACGGGGAGGACAGGAATTGACCCATAGGCCATAGTTTGCAAACCCTGCTCTAAACCCACTCAATAGATTAGTTTCTCTGGCAGGAACAGGCTAGATTTTCACTAACCCCCTTTTCCCTTTAATCTTATATACTTTACAGTTTCCCTTCATGTTAGATGTAGCCTAACATCTTTCTTGTAGATGTGACTGGTTTTGGCCAACTGAATGTGAGTGGATGAGGTAGGTTTCATGTCCAAGCCTGGCCCTTAAAAACCTCCCCCAGAGGGCAGCTGGATGTTAACTCCCAGGGTGATCTTGGAAGTAGCAGAATTTGAAGTAGAAATGCTCTCACCCTGGGCCCCTGGATCACTAGCCGAGCCACCTTCCTCCCCAGTCCCAAGCTATTGATTGGATTTATGTGTGTTATGCCACCTAAGACTTTAGGATTTATCTGGAACTAATTCAATTTCCTCCCTTTTTTCTACTCATTTTACAGATGAGAAAATTAGATGAGCTAATTTAGGATGGGAAATATCAAGGTATTGGCTAAGTAATCTAGGAAGTATCAGGTTAGAGTTCATTCGTTGAACAGATGTTTGTTGGCCTACTACGTGCCAGACATGGTGCAGATCCTATGGTGAACAAAACCAACTGGGTCCCTGCCCTCAAGGATTTTATAGCCTGGTGTCTAGACAGATTAAACAAATGAATATGTAATTATAACCCATGACAGGTGGTAGGACTGTCTATGAGAGTGTGTGATGGAGGGAGATAATGGAATCTGGGAAGCTCTCCCTGATGAAATGACATTTATGCTGAGTCCCAAAGGAGTTGCCCAAGGGTGGAAGGGGTGAAGGTGTTGAGGCAGAGCCAGGCCGATGGCCGGCATGGGCCAAGGTCCTGGAGGGGATGTGCTGGGCTCATCACACAGCGATATCGGGAAGGCCAGATGGTGCACCTAGCTCCTGCCCCACTGGTGATTAATCCCTTATCACAGGCAGATTAATGACCATCCTGAGGTTGATTGATTGCACGTTTCCTATGATAAATACCATTTAAAGAAGAAGGAAGGAAAAGTCAGATCATCTAAACCGGAAACAAACACAGACTCTAATTCAGTCCAATCCAAAAGCTCTTACTGCAGACTCCCAAATGCCAGGCCATGGGGTGAGAATCAGAGGACAGGAGGTAGGAAATGCAGATCCCTGTATCAAGGAGCTCTAGGGCTTCCAGGAAAGTGTGAGTGGCCAGCCATCTGCTGGAGTCACAGGGAGACCACCCAACAGGGAGATAAAGAGGCAGGTAGGGCGACCTGCCTCAGCCCTGTGGTCAGGAAAGGGGTCTTCACAGAAAAGGGTTCTGTCGTCAAACAGATCAGGAAAACACTGAGTTAAACACAGCTAAATACAGTTGCTCAACTGTGAGACTTTGCTGAGCCTCTAATACACCAACGTGCAACACGAATCTGCAAGCAAGAGGCATGGTATTTCCTAAATTTAATGCACCACTAAGCCCTCCCTTTGAGGTGCATTTTCTTGGAAGCCTATTTTCGATTTGCTGAGCCATGCTTTTCCTTATGTTATTAAAGGCTGCATAATAGGTACAGATCATCATTTATGTATTTACCTATCTTTTCTCCCATTGCTGGGCATTTGGGTGTTCTATTTTTTCTGTCTCCAATTTTTTTTCCTGCCTGTAATTTAAAAACAGGGCTTAAGCACTTGGGGAGCAAATTCTGAAGGTGCTCCAGCATTTCTTGCTACCAGGGCCTCACTGAGTTTTGCTGCTCTCAGGAACCAGGGAGAAGAGCCCCACCCAGGGCTTAGTCACCATGGCAACCACAGGGTCAGGAGGAGGGAAGATGCTGGCAGGTGGGACCACACAAGGAAGCCCCCAGGATCTGGTGGCTGGGAGCCTGCAGCCCTGAGGCTGCCCAGACCTGACTGTTGGGGGACCCTTGGGAATGATGGACCTCTAAACTGCTTTTATTTGCTCCATGGCTCCTGGAAGCCTCCTTAGCTGGAAGCCTCCTCCCTAGGATTTTGCCCGCTGCAGCCAAGTGGGAGGCAGAGGTCAGGGACTGGGAAAGTGGGCGGCTGGGGTAGGTTAGCACACATTCCTGCCTTCTGATTGGATGGAGAATTTTCTTCTACACATTTCTTGATTTGGTTTGAATTCTAGGATCCTCAAGAAAGTTTCAACAAGGATCCCCTTGTACACAGTTGCCTGTCGAGGGAAGAGGTTTCTGGAGGAGAGGAGCTGTGGCTGTCTTGGGATACTTCCAGGCATGCAGCGGGCAGGAGGTTTGTGGCACAAGGATCAGTGTCTCAGAGGCCTTGGTCTGCTGGTGCAACGCTCGCCTGATTCTCAGACAGGCCCCTCTAATGCAGTAAACAAACCTCTTTCCCAAGAACTTTCTGTGCTTCCCAGACCATGCAACAGTCAGTCCTTAAACTTTTTTTAAAAACAAAACCTATACAAGTCATAGACACCACACTGATAGCAGCCGTCACCACGGGGCCAGGGCGTGGCACTGGGCAGGTGATCAAGGCAGCCTCCAGTCTTTTTTTCCACATACCTCGTATCCTCAGAATCTTACAGCATTTATATCTGTATTACTTGGACAATTTATAATTTAATTAAAAAATAAGAATGGATAGGGGAAGGAAAAATTTCCCCATAATCCATTAGCTGAAGCAATCGATGTGAATATCTGAGCATACTTCTTCCAGGCTTTTAAAAAGGAATTTGTTTTTAATATAGGACAAGTCTCTTTACAATAAAAGGGCTCATTTACGTGCTCTTTGCATTGTAGTGGGACTTCGCAGTGCTTTTAAGTAACAGGC